GGGGGGAATCCAGCCCCTCCCCTGTCACGGCAGAGAGCTGTGACAGGATCGAGAAGTGATCGAACGCCGGTATGTGTTCGCTCACCTCCCGATCTACTGAGCCGACCTGTGACAGTCTCATTGTCACAGGTCGGCTAGAACTATGAGGTGAGTGAAAAGCACTCACCTCATAGTTCTCCTTTCAAAGGACTGATAAGGCTGGGCAGAGTAATAAGCAGGAGACCGCACCGCAAAGAGCAGTGTCCCCGACACTCCTGCAGTGTGTTCCTTCATGGATCAATAAAATAATCAAAGAGTATAAATAATTAAATATGCAAATTGTTATTTAAATTTAATGATAGGGGCTGGCAAAAGGTGCAAACAATTAGCGGGAAAGCTGGCACCACCAATAATGTGCATAGCTATTCGCTCAGCAAAACTCCATGTACGTTCTGTGTGGATTAACCAGCTAGTGTGAGAATGGGGCAAAATGTAATGTTCTATTTTCTCTTTGAGTCGATTGTTCATTAACACAGTTATTCACAAAAGGGTGAAGAGTTTGGAGAAGGCAGGAGAAGTGAACAATCTAGGACAACATAGCTAAACTGAAGAGTGAGCTGAATTGGATAATTTTTCCAAATCAGCTATGTTGTCCTAGATTGTTCACTTCTCCTGCCTTCTCCAAACCCTCCAAACTAGGGTTTTAAAACTGTTATTTAGGGGAAGCTTTTGATTGCAAACAGCAACAAGCCTTCATAGGTACTCTTATGTCCAGGAAATACATTTCTAGGAGCACTTTGATCTCTATTCTCAAATTCTTGTGTGATGCTCACAGAACCTAGCACGCAGAGTTCTTCTCAAGTAAAAAAAAGCCACAAAGACACACTAAGCAGTAAACTTCATAGTATATGGAAAAGTTGATAAACTGATAGTCACTTTATTACCTTTTTATCTTTAAAACATTTAGTGCCATGTTTAATCAATTTACATGATAAAGATCTTCCTTTTTCTGACTTGGAAAAGCCTTGTTATATCAAATATACATTTCTATTTAGAAGTTTTATAGGATCTTTCAGTTTGCTAGAAGAAATCTTACTTTTTATATTCAGGTCTCTACTATAGACAGTTTACGTGGTAGTTCTGGACCTTTCATGGTATCCTCTGAAAATATGTGTCAGTTTCCTTTCCGTGTACTATTTATCTGCTTGTACAGACTGTTAAATTGGGTGATAAACCTAATGTCCGTATTATCATTTTCTCCAATTAGTCCTGTCCTTTATTTGGTGCCTGGCGAATATAAATATTTTCTGTATGCAGTCTTACTTGAATTGCCAGGATACCATTTCTCATAAAAAGTATCTTTTAGAGTGTTGCTCTGTGTAAAATAAAGCACTTACTGTATCTTTGGCCCAGGTTTGGGTCCTGTATCCAGTCCAGAGTAGACCTCCAGCCTTGGCCAGCATTGGGAGCTGCAACTGTAAGGTGTCTGGCAGCCTTGGATTGGCTCAGAAAAGACCTGCTAACTAAAAGTGCAATACGAGGCATCCAACTTTTTGCTTTTGGGGAAGTGTTAGGGCCCTTGTCAGATACATAATGCTGTCTGTGTCACTAAATGGGAGATTTCCCGACAATAAGTGATAGAAAATGTCTTCTACATCACAAAAACACATTTGAGTAAAATGGACGAAGGTTATACGGTATTTGAATTGCTGTCTGTGCCTTCCTACCCCCATTTCATTTACAGGCATCAAAAGAACTCGATGTGGGAGATAATCTTCCTAATGAAATCAGAGGCAGAATTAAAACCTAATAGAGATCTTAAAGGAGAACTATGGGGTTAAGGCTTTTCCCCATAGTTCTCCTTAGGGTAACGGGAGGGCACAAACTAGCGTCCTCCCGTCACCCTAAGCTCAGTATAACGCGAGCTGTAGCTCGCGGTATACTGAGATGCAGCAGCTGAAGCGGATCCCGACAATTATGCTGGGATCCGCCCAGCTGCGTGACTGACAGCTGGCTCTGCCTATCTAGAGGCAGAGCCAGCTGTACCCGCCCCCTCCCCCGTCCGTTCCGCCAGTCAGCGCTGGCGCATAGGAGCGGGGAATCCAGCCCCTCCCCTGTCACAGCAGAGAGCCGTGACAGGATCGAGAGGTGAGCGAACGTCGGTATGTGTTCGCTCACCTCCCGATCTACTGAGCCGACCTGTGACAGTCTCATTGTCACAGGTCGGCTAGAACTATAAGGTGAGTGAAAAGCACTCACCTCATAGTTCTCCTTTAAAGCAGAAATCCAGTCCAAAACAAGAGAATAAAAAAGTATAGCCCATCAAAAAAATGAAATAATAAAACCCGCTTTTGCTTCAATCCAGTGAATTGCCCCCACAGCATTTTTTCTGTCACTAGTCCTCAGTCTAATGGCCAGCATCATTCAACCCACTTCCTCTGAGCCCAGGTTGTGCTGGACCCAAACGCAGCCTGTGACTGGACGGTGAAAGGAGAAGCAGCACAACAATGAGCTCATCTCTCTATCACTCTGCTTTCTCTTCCTATCACCATGCTTATTGCCAGCACATAAACTGATTGGCTCCTTACATAGTTACATAGTAGGTGAGGTTGAATAAAGACACAGGTCCATCAGGTTCAACCTATATATAGTGTGTGTGTGTGTGTGTGTGTATAATGGTCGGGAATTTCAATAACCCTGTATGTTTTGTGAACTGAGGAACTCATCAAAGAGTTTTTTTTTAAGCAGTTCATGTTTCCCGCTGATACAGACATCTGTGGAAGTGAAGTCCACATTTTTACCACTTTTAAAATAAAATACCGCTTACACATCCCCTCCAACTTCTTGTGGTGCCCTTGCGTCATCCTCGAGGTACTTGGTTGGTACTGCTTCTTCCTCTCACGTTCCAGCCCTGCTGTACATGGATTGCAGGGAATGTATTCCAGATCAAATTCATATCCTCACACTGTTTGCATGTAAAATTTTGTTGAAGCCCAACTCCAGGAAATAATGACAAGAATAAGAATCTTACCTTGCAGCTCTGTAATCATAAATACATAATTAAACTCTAGGAAAAATGATAATTTACACACTGCACTGGGTGTGTACACTATCATTAAAAAGCTGCATGTTATGTGTGGAAGGATACTGCAAAGTATAAAACTCTTACACAAAATTCTCCCATTCACAAAATGTAAGCCATTACAAGGCATGCAAGGCATTTTGTGAATGGGCAAGTAGTGAGGAGGCGCACTTGATAAGACAGGAGCAGTTCACTGCTCAAGTCACATCTCTCACTGCCTGCAGTTCCCAGAAGCTCAGTGTTATGTGCAGGAGACGGCACATCACATACAGCCTTTTAATGATAATTTACTCATGCAGTGTATCAATTATCATTTTGTTTGTCCTAGAGTTTGGCTTTGATTATGTATTTATGATTACAGAGCTGCATTCACTTCTGACTTTTCCCCACTGTATACAAAAATTAAAAAAAAAACTTCAACCATCCCAAAAAGTAAAATACTCAAGTTCAAAGAAAGATCACATAAAATATCACATACATATTTTACAATGTATTTACCTTTTTTGACACTTCAGGTCAAAACACACTTAACATAGCCAAGAGAGGACATTCGTACTGAGCCCCAATCACAGATAAGAGTCATTACTTCATAAATATTTGATTACTAAGTTTTATTTCCAGTGATCACAACATTGCAGGTTTTCACTGTGATGGTCGATACATGAGTGTTTTGCACTTACATTTTCATTGTTTTTAAATAATTTACCATAACATTGCATTTGTTACTTTTCTGTAACAATAAACAACTGAAACATATCTTAAATGGAAAAAAAGGGTAATTCAGAAATAAAAAGACTAGATGTATGCTTACTTGCATGAAGACATTAAACTTGTCTCGTACCTGAAGAATAAATGTCGGCCAAGTTGGACTAGTTAGCTGGGTACACTTGATGGCTAACGCCATTGAAGGCATGTTAAGTATGAGCTGTGTTTGGACACTAAACAATAATTCCCATATTCCACAAAGTTATTCCTTTGACATTTGGACACCTCTTTGCGGGGCCCTTGATCTGTTCTGAAAATTTACAGGGTTATTCACAAAAGGGTGAAGAGTTTGGAGAAGGCAGGAGAAGTGAACAATCTAGGACGACATAGCTGAACTTGAAGATGAGCTGAATTGGAGATTTTTTCCATAGAAATTGTTCACTTCTCCTACCTTCTCCAAACTCTTCACCCTTTTGGGAATAACCCTGTAAGTTCATATCTCAAACAAATGCTGTATTCATTTTTTATTTATGGCCTATTAAAACAATGTCCAAACACAGCTCTTACTTGCTTACCATGAGTGATAATGGTTGTTGTGTATCTGCAGTCTGAACTAGCCATACAGAACAGGATTGTATTTATTTTTTTTGTAAATGGTCCTATCATTGAGCTGTCCATCACCCATCATGCACTTCCAGTACTTAATGTATATATTGTGCATACAATCCATAGACCGTGAATAGAGTGCTCAACCGATTGCAGTCATATTCTTCGCAGTATTCCTAACCAGGTCATCCGCAAGCAAATCTGAATGTTCATCTTTGGATGAGCAGATGTTCTGTAGATCCATTCTCATCCGCACTCGCAAGCTTTGCTGCAGTAACAGGTGACATTCATTATGTTTCCTGGACAAATTGTCAAAACTGTTGTAGTCATCAGTATCCAATATACAGAGAGATAGTCACATGACTGCAACGATATGGTTTTTATTGTGTGACAAACTTATTCCGCGTGTGGTGAACTCAACACAAAATTGGCCCAGATGTCATAGGGACCTTTTAAATTAATCATATGTACAAGCATCTATCACTATATCTGATCAATTAAAATGTTTGCCATTTACATCATTGGTAACAGACAGCCATACAGCTGCCTATTAATGTGCAGCATTGCAGACAGAACACAGGGCATTTCATTGCAGGTGTCCCTTATCATCTAAAGAAATCACTATATTTATATTGAACTGTAATTAGTTCTGGTGAAGCATTTCTCTGTATTGTATGTGATTGCGTGCACAGCTAATACAGACCAAGCAGAAGGACACGGGGGTTTACATCATTTACTCCCAAGACAATCTGCAAAATTATATTATTATGGCCTGTATGTAGAATAACCCCTTCACTGCCAAACTATTAATTGCTAAAGATGGAGATTTTTCCATTTGCCCTGCACAGACTCTTGGCAAGGCTCCGCCTGGCTCCAGATGTCTTTGCACAAAATCAGTTTAAAAAATAAGGAATATACATATAAAAATAATACTTTCATGCAATACTTATAGCTCATACCCCTTTTCACCCTTAACTGCTATAAGAACAGCAGGCCTCATAGGCAGCAAAGAAAGGAAAACAAAGTGTAGAGAGAAAAAAACAAATGGTAGAATCCATGAGATATACAAACATAAATATGGGAATACTATATATATATCTATACATACATGCAGATGTACTGTACTGGCTTCATGTGCTGCAGGCATGATAAATGCTTAGAGGCAACGATGGTTGAAAATATTCTGCAATGCACCACATGGCCCACTAAGGGGAAGGAAAGAACTTGCTGCATATTTATGTATACATTTATATATATATATACTGTATACTGCTGAGGTCCATATTGCTTGTCCCTTGCTTTAACATTTCACAGGGGTACATCCAAAATCCTTTTGCAGCCAAAGGCATACGCAGCAGCGAGTGATTCTGCACGGCTATGTGGATTGTTGCATAGAATAGAGAAAGTGATGGAGGAGATATTCTGCTAGTTTTCGCCATCAATCCTCTCTTGGCGCTTTTTCATGATTTCAGTGAGTTCATTCCCACCCTGACTTTTCTGGAAAAGAAATATGTTTTCATTAATAAGGATATCATTATGCCCTTTAAAGGCAAAGCACAGCTTAGAGGCATCAGGCCACAATAGAAAATGTATGAATCACAGAGTTATATGTTTGACTCAGCAGGGGGTGTGCCGGACCTCTGCAGCGAGAACGCTGGTTTCACACAGAGACCAAGGGTGCTTCTCTGCAGCATGCTGGCAAGGGACAGGATTTTCTACACTTGTGGCTGCTTTCTAAAGGAAACAAATTGCAGGACTTGTAACATCTTTTGTGTCGATGTAGCTGAAAAGTATTTAACTGAATTAAACTGAAAAGATAATTTTGGTTTTAAACAATTGGTTGTGGATTGCTGCAGCTAAAAATTGATAGAAAGAACCAAAACTGCCAACAAAATTGCAAAGTGTATGGCTAGCATAAGGCAGTTCCAGTGCTATGTTCTTGGGGGTTTAAGGACAAATATAGCAGTTTAACAGGCACATCTTTCATTATTTATTGTTGCTTGGCTGATAGGATCAACTCAACTCCAACCATTTTTTTTCTAAAGTTGTAGATAAAGTGGGGAAGGATTGGAACTTTTGTATTTTTTGTTACTTCATGGTAGGGATTATTTTCAGTTTCAATAAGCGGGGGGCAAAACCTGAGGACAAATCTCACTCATCAGCACCTATGTAGACAGCTACAAAAATCTAACAATGGTTCAAACCTTTTTAACTAGCGTTGGGCTTTAACATTATTTTCTTCAAAATGAATTAAATATTAATGGCAAATATTTTATGTTAGGCCACTTTCAACATTTAAATGTCCACCAGATTTGTAGCTTAGTTCTCAGTGATTGTTAGAGTACCTGCTATGTGAAAATTCTTTCTTCCTTTTCAAAGCCCTAATGTAAGTTTCTGTGAAGTTCCTCCACTAGTCTTGGCTCTGTGCTACCCACACAGCTTATATTGCTTTTATTGGAAACCCAGAGTGGGGACTGACAAAATAAGTAATACATATAGATGGACAAAGTGGAACCTGGCTGGTGTTCTCAGTGGTAGCCAGGATTTCATACATCAAGTGCTCTAATTATTCAACTTTACAAAATGCTTTTGGTTGGAATTTTCATTTAAAGCTGAACAGATATCATTGGCATCTAATTTCACCTTCTTGCTTTGTTTTCAAATCACCTCAAAAAGCTAACTGCTCTTTTATGCCAGAAAAGTAATCTTTCTAAGATGGAAGGACCCAACAACTTTAGATGTAAAACCATTGCTAACTTCAACACAGATGTTTCATCTAAATACAAACAACTTTATATTAGCCAGGAATGCTCAAATAAGCTTGAAATATTGGGGGGCATGGTTAACAGTGGTCCCAAACCCTGGTTTTGATGTTTGAACCAGCTTCAGTAGGACATTGTACTAAGAAGTGCTGAAAGTTTGTTAATGTATTTTGACATCTTTATAGTTTTCTATGTTATCGGGGGAGTAGGCAGAGCTTAGTGTGTGAAGTCTACACAGATGCCTGTTGCTTGAATGTCTAACTTTTTGTTGACCTGTTTTTTGTTGTTTTTGTTTTGCACTGAAAATATTCATAAATAAAATACCTTTAGAAAAGGTTGAACAGATATACCTGTTTTGTTAATGAAAGCAATTATGCACCAGGGTAGACTCTTGAGTGGAAACAACCATAAAGTTTACATCACTTTATAGCACAACGTGCCCAGCAAAACTAAGCACATGGTCGTACTGGTATATAGCATTTTCTGAGGACTAACATAATTCTTGAGAAAGATTCATTTATAAAAAATAGAAAGATGTTAAAACCTGAGTAATTTTGGGAAAAAGCAACCATGGTGCCTGTGGAATAAAATCTAACAAGTCTTATGATGGCCATACAAACAAGGATCTGTTTATTTACAAGCAATTCATTCATTCATCCAACATTCATATACACTATTTATTGCATGCAAGCTGATCTCCCCACTACTATTTAACCACCTGTGGACTGGCCACTGTATATATATATATATATATGTGCGGTCTGAGCCCCATTGTTCCGGGAAGATGTACCTGTACGTCCTTCCATGGCCGTCTGTGTGTGCAGGGCCACTAGAGAGCTGCGGCTTTAGACACAGAGCCAATCGGACCGTCTCTGGGTTCTGTGATCGCTACAATTGGTTATCACAGCAATAACATGGCAATCTTTACATTGCCAAACCCTACCCTTCCTTTTTCAGTTATTAATTATTATGTGAGGCCTGCTATCAAAGCTATTAAGGTTTGAAGGCTTTGTGCTAACCTTGCAATATCTTTTAAAGTTTTTTTTTTAATTTGCTGTTTTATTACTATTTTAATTCCAACATTTGTTGTGTCTGATTACTATATTTGGCGATATATTTTGCATAGGTTTGAGTTATTTAAAAAAACATTTTATTTAAAAAGCATAAGAGGCGAAGTTGAAAAGGTGTTATGATCCTGGTATAATGATCCATCACCATCCTCCTGGACCTCAACCTATGTCCTTTCTATACTACCTTTATTTTTTTTCTTCTCGAATTCTTTCACTTATGTTTGACCTTTAGTGCTTTCTTTCATTTCCCTCTGCTTATAATGTTCCTATTATTTCTTGATCTTCACCTAAACTAGAATGGAGAGTTTGGTATCTGGTTTCTGACCTACCCTCGTAGAAACTGCAGGTCTTCAAGAAAATTGTATGACAATCCTATGTGTTTATAATGACCTGTCCTATGACCATGCATCTATAGTCCAGTTGATACCTACTTTTCCATGCGAGGAAAAAACAGACATATAGGTTTGTCAAAAGTTGTAAATGGCAATGAATGTTACTTGTTACTACATTTGCTCCTTTTCTCAATAAAAATAAAAAAGAGAATTTCAGTTTTATTGCCATCTCGGATAAACCCATGGATGTAGACACTCACCTCTAACTGTGACTTTTGCACAAGCAGCTGACTGTATACTCTTCCGCCCTCTTCGCCACAAACCCTCCTTAGCTCATCTTTGTTTAGAGAAAAAATCTGTGCCCCGTTCAAAATGCCCAGTTGTCCTGATGTCCTGGTGAAGAAGAAAAAAAACATATCCCTTAGCTTGTATAGAAGACATGACATGACAGTGTGAACACAAATACTTAGTAAAAACCACAATATAGAGCTCGGAGAGAATGCCATCACTGTCCTTTCCTGCTGTGGCCCAGTCATTAACATACAAAGGGAGAACCTCTTCCTATAGTGTGCATCAGAGTATAGTAGTTGGCTGCTTGCCTGACAGTGTAAAGATATCCAATTTTTTTTAACTAACAGAGATGCCGGAATTGTGTTGGCCTCCCTACTGCTGCAAAACTACTGGAACAGAGAAATGCAGCAACAGCCCTGTAAATTACTTTTAGGATAAGTCATATAACACAATGGAAGAGAGATATTGCCTCTCTCTTTGCAACTATAACAGCCTCCACTCTTCTTGTCCCTTTTTGGCTAAAAGAGTTGAGATTTGAAAATAAAAGAGAGAAGCTGATTGGTTGCCATGCACAGCTGCTGTAGATTTTGACTGCTCCAGTTTTGATAAATCCCCTTTTGTTTTTAATAGTCAGGGAAAGGAGTGAAATCCATCACTCACGCCACACATCACATGGTATTGTGCATATAACACGCATGTGCAAGTGCACAGTGTGAATGCGCACTACATCCCCACTATTTGAAATATAGCATCCCCCGCTCAGGACAATGAAGTTCGGATGGTAAGGTGCTGCTGGGAAGTGAACCATTTTGGCAAGCTAAGAGATTTATGAAAAAAATGGCATATTAAAATCCACTGGTATTTACAGCTATTAGGGTTTTGGGTGCCACTTTAAAGCCAGACATTTTGTTTTATTGTTTTAGATAGAGCAGGCTAGAATCTCTTTCAGGATTTTCGCCTGGTCCTACTGGGAAGATTTCCCTTCACTTCCTTCATGATCACCATATTTCCAGTGGGTTTATATTCAACATTAAAACATTTGTTTAGTACAGTGATTATGGATTAAAACCTGTGTCAGTTTACTTTTGCTGTCTATGTCCCTGTTGAGCAGATTTCCCCTCAGCTTCTAGAAGTAACCAAGACAAGATGAACATGTCCAGTAGGGACATGAACAGCCTAAACAAACAGACAGATTCTAACCCCTTCTATCAAAAACTAAAGACGTTTTGTCTAGAGTTGAGTTTGGTATTTATTCTTCATAACTCCCCAGGATTGGGATGAGGCAAGCTGAGTAATTTTTCTTTACATATAATTAACATGCTAATTTGTGCCCCTGAGCATAGCCCAAACATTGTATTGGGCCACTGAATAGGATGTTCAATCAAGCTGTTTAATGCTACCCTTAAACTCACTATTAACATTACAGTCTACATGTAGAATCACCTTTAGATCTCCCAACAACATGTACTGTGAGGCTCTCCATGATTGTATACAAACTGAATTGTTATAGTAAGCCCTCAAGTTACATAGCTTTGGTAAGTCTAAAGGAGATTGTACAATCAGACTGTAACATGTATGAGCAGTACTATTAGTCCACTGATAAAATCTTGCCATAAATTTATGTAAAAAATAATCAATATCGGATACAAAGTTGATTGTCACTTACGGTTTACTAAAACCTTTAGCATCAAGCCAAGCTTTGACTTCCTCTGCATCAGACTGGTAATTTAATGGGATGTGTACTTGCTGAACTTTTTGTGCTACAAAGTTCCTTTTAGGTGGCTGAGTTGTTGTGATTTTCTTCAAGAGCTCATCATTCAGTTCATCCATGTTGTGAATTAACTCTGCAGAGGTAAAATGGACACATTGAGAACTATGGGCTGCAGTAAACCAACAATGGGAACAGGATATACGGTAGGCTGAATCTAAAGAACCAATACATTCCACCATGACCTTGTTTCAACTTCACTGTTAAATTTCTCCCATCCAAAATGATATATTTGGCATCAATGCTTACCTATCATCGTCATTTTTACCTAAGGGTCCATTTACGGCCGTAGATAATTTTTTTTCCTGGAGGGGGGTTCAGCTTCCTCAAATTATAAGACTTTATCTAGCAGATACACCAAGGTTTGAAAAAAATATATACTAGCCATATCATTCCTAAACCAATCCTTTACCCTGAGCAATACAGATTTTGTTGTTTGACACCATATGGATAAAAAAACATGCTTTTAAAAGACTTAAAATTGGTACCTACCAAATCACACAAACCGCCTAGTATACACTTATTAGGATTTTTTTTTACCAAAAACATTTAGCAGAATAAATTTTGGCCTAACTTCAGGAAGAAATTTGATTTTATTTGATATTTTGTATAGCAAAAAGTAGAAAATATAATTTCCCCCCCCCACACAATTTGTGGTCTTTTTTCAATTATATATATTAAAAAAACAAAAAACCAGCAGCGATCAAATAGCACAAAAAGAAAGCTCTATTTGTGTAAAAAATTAGGCGCCCGGGGGCAAGTCTTTCATTAGCGCCCCCACGGAACACGTACCTGACTTCGGGAGGAGTTACACGGTCTTCATCTCTGTCGGATGAAGACCTCAAAGCTGCTCCTCTGTGCTATTGTTCTATCGAAAGCTCCGACTTGTCACGTCACATCCGGTGACTGCCAGTAGGAGATGTACAGCAGATGGAGCTAGTGCGCATAAGCAGAAAATCCTTGTCGAACTGTGTAACTGTTGCCACTGCGCCCGCGCAGCTCATTGGATTCTA